GTTCAGCCAACCCATGGGCGAGATTATACAAACCCCCCCCTCTGGCTAAACGGGAAAAAAAAAAAAAAAAAAAAAAAAAAGAAACATTTCTGCACTGTATTCTGATTTTGGACCAAAACAGTGCAACGCGTTGTGGTCCTTTCTTACTTTTGTACTTGCTGTGGCTCGAGGAGTCCTGGCTCTCCTCGATGAGGACCTTGGCCGCCGCGTCCAGGGTAACGGTTTGAGTTTTGGAGACCAGGAAGAGCATGACAAACTTCTGGCTCATGATGCGCAGAGATTTGTCCTTTCTGTTGCCCGCAGCTGCAGAACAAAGCAGATTTAAGTTCACACACAGGCTATTTGAGAAGAGGAAATTCAAATTAATCAACAAATGCCAAAAACATTGGTATTTCTCTCATTGTCTTTTTGTTTTCATACCATTTCCTGAGTCTCCATCTCCTCCATCTTCCTCCCGGCTCAGTCCGGACCTTCTGGCCTCGGCGGGCAGGTCCATCTGCAGGTGGTAGCCCTGCTCCCGGCCCCTCCGCTGCAGCACCTCCAGCGTGCTCCACAGCCGCTGTCGGCCGTACCAGGTGTAGCTGTTCTTGGCCATCCGGCCCACAATGGTCAGCGACTCCAGGACGTTGACGATGTCGTAGATCCGTCGGCGCTCCACTCCTGACAGGCGCAGAGGAATTTATGAAATCAAACCCCGAGTTGTAAAAAGGTAAAGCTGCTCTCCTGATCGCTTTAATGCACTTACCCAGATTGGTTGCGACCTCATCCAGTGAGATCCATATGGGGCTGTGGGCTGGTGGGTCATCGGGGTAAAGAGCCAGGAACTTCTGGCAAAGCAGACCCAGGCTCTTCTCCTTCCTGCTCGGCTTCTTCTCTGCATCATCCTCCTCAAAAGCCCCTTCAAACTATAAAAAAACATCAAAATATAAGAAGACTCCATAATTGTTTTCCATCCCTTAATATGTCATGTATATTAAGTTTAGTTAATATACATGTTATACAAGTTTAGTTAACTGCCAATCTTTCCAGGGTCCAAATACCTGAGTTGGATCTTCTACCTCTGCATCCTCCACCGCTGGTTCTGAACCTACCACCTGGTCCTTGTCGTTCTCCATAGGTCTGAACAGAACCTTCTTCATCTCCCTGTCTCTGATGTCCGGGCTGGCAGCGCTGATGAGCACCTTCAGGTTGGCCGTGGGCGACCACGGCTCAGCCAGGCTCCCACACTTGATGGGAGTGATGTGGGCCAGGTCGGAGGTCGACGCCTTCCGGCTCACCAGGAAAACGGGAACGCTGGACTCTGACGGTTTCAGCGGGGTGGACCTCCTCCTCTCTAAACACACGTTTTCCTGCAACAGAGAATGGTTGGTGAGAATCGGGAATGTTGGTACTTGTTGCGTGTTTGCGTAAACTCAAAGTTGGATCGAAACAGTTCTGCCTGATTTTACTAGATGCAGTTGACTAAGCGCAGTAAAAAGCACATCCAAGCCCACCTTTTCCCCTTGGCTCCCATCTTCTTTAGGAACAGAGAAACTTTTTCCCACACTTGTGAGGTCTTTCAGTGCCAGGCATTCCACCTCCATTTGGAATACCTGCCAAAAAAAAAGTAAGGTGACGTGAATTCACAAAACAAAATTTAGTTGTAGTTTCTTAGCTATGCAACAACCTTTTTTTGTTGTTTCAAATTCAAAAATACTTTGTTAATCACAGAGAGAAATTACACTTCTTCATAGAGATTCAGATTAACATGGCTGTGGCCAAGAGAAATACATAAATGCTGCGATAAATACTAGTTATATAGTGCATCCCTGGTTTATACCTACAACTTTAACATTTCAAATGCGTAGCATATTGGATAGTGATCTTGGAGTTCAGCGACTTCTGGGTCTCCCCCTCAACTCACATGTGATTTAATGCACAGATCTCAGCTCTCATGTCTGAGAATAAATAAAAGGACTGCTTTATCATATTTCTGAGTGAGGAATTTAGAACATTCAATCTCCAAGTTGAAAGAAAAGGCGTCAAAAATCCAGTGTACTGACTTGATCGTCCCTCTTGTGATGTCATGACCGTAAACCAGAATTACCACTTCTGTATGCTTGTGAAAACTTTTTGTCTTAGCAAATCCTCCAAATATGATCCATACTTCGCTACCCATCTGTTTTATTGCCATTGTACATGGGTTAGTAATAAAGAAACACACCGCGGAAGAGTAGCTTTAATGTCAGGCCAGACGTTCAGAAGAATTTGGCGCAAACATCTGGTAACTAGCGGGCTAACAGCAAGCTAATTCGCTCCCTTATTAACATGTTTTAAGCTTAACCTGCTGAGATCTAACCCATGCCATATGATAGAGACTTAATGTGTTGTTACACTGCAACAAATCAAAGTTTAATCCGATCTGAAACATAACTTTTACCGCTAACTCTATTAACCAGAAAAGGGCCAGTTCGGCTAAATTAATCCTAATTACTTACACTACATGAGCTACCAATGAACTAGAAGTACATTATTTGTGACTTGCACATAGTAAAATAGATCAAAAATAACTTTAACTATAAACTTAGCTGAAGGTATTGGGTCAGTGGAGCAGCATACCATGACACAGATAACAGGAAACAACTGGAAGAAATGCACAATTATTCACCTTTTTGTGACCGTTGAAATTAATGATGTATTCCGATGTGGGTCACAGTCTTGTCACTGCGTTAGTTGCTTCAGCCAAACATAGCCGCTTCTTTCCCTCTTTAAAATTAGCGGGCAACTCCGAACCGCTTATGTGTGTCCTGCGTGTCATCCACAGAGCGGACACTGTGCAGTACTGCCCCGCTTCAACAGCAACACCCGCTCAAGCTTGTTTTCTGGCGCTCTGAAGCAGCTGGATTGCTCCAGCCAATCGGAAACCGCGTTGGTTGGTGTCGTCACCTGGCTCCAGCCAATCAACAGCACTGCGCTCTGAGCTTCCTAGGGAATGAGAGGCTGAACGACCACGCCTTTGATATTGGTGGCGGGGCAGCCGGCGCGCTCATTTCAAGATAGGTTTTGGAGAAAAAAGACGTCTCACTCTGTACGTGTTTTCGCACCCTGCTTCCTTCGACGGCAACTTAGGATGTCGTCGAAGATCCCATATACAAAAAACGCATCGACCCATGGCTGGTCGACAGATGCGTTTTTTGTGTAGAAACGGGATCTTCAGCAATATCGAACACACACCCAATCTCCAGAAAAAACCCGTAAAGTTGCTTCAGAGTATTTATGATCTTGTTTATGATGTGCTATGAAACGCATCAAATATTGTAAACAAAAAAGTGTTATAACGTTATCCGTAAATTACTGTTAAATACTGTCAGTAATGTTTAATTTTTTCGTTGAGATGACAACAAAAACACGACCAACACTCCAAATCATGTCGTACTATTAAATACTTTCTTTGTGGTTATTACCCTTATTAATCAGGGGATATTTGTCCGACAAAAAATAACTTTTGTACACATATAATTTGGACGCCAGGGCTTTGAAAAGAGTAACTCATCGGCCTTACCAACGATCTTTGCTTTTCTACATATAGTTTTGGGTTGCACCACTGCTTCTTTCCAAATCCCACAGAGACGCATATTGTACAAAAGCCGCTAATAACGCCTTTAACTAATCAACTAGGCGTTTGTCTCTGCTTTGGGATGTAATTAATGTCTGAAACTGAAAGACAGATGGAAGTGAGAGCTGCCAGGTGGGGGTTTACACGAATGGACTTGCCGATACTTGGACCATAGCGCGAAAAGTTGCAGCGGGAGAGAAACCACAAGTCCCGCTCTACATGCAAATAAATGTGGGAGAGAACGTGAACCCCTATAGTTTGCATAATATCCACTTCACTTCATATTCGAGCACTTGGACTATGATAATAGACGGAAAAACTTTGAAAGTATTGTTTCCTAAAATATCTTGCACAACTTCACTTCTTTCTTGAACCACTGCATTGCAGTATACATTCTCTGTTCCCTCTGTTTTCACACTACATAACCAAATGACCTGTCCCTGCTAGAGATAGATGAATGAATGTTGAGCGATTAGAGTACAGGGTGTCAATTCAAATGCATTTACTTCAAGTTGACTTGGAAAAAGAAATGTACTGTTCATATTTCTTGGTTTAAAGCGTCACAGAAAGACAGCCAGTGTTTCTGCCAAGTGCTTTTTGTTCTTCCTCTGACTCATTACTGATGAGCATCAGGTGAAGCTGATGGGAACAGGTTCAGACATGCTTGGAAATGTTGGTGTAGGTGAAAAACTAAATCCCAGATTACACTCACACCTAGAGGACTTAGACTTTGACATTTTTACATTATTTCCTTACCAATAACTTTTTTTTTTTACTTAAATGTACATTTTTACAAATCTGGCAAGTCAAAAAGTATGTAATACCCTTTAAAATAGTGAATGGATCAGGGTGATGCCAATTTACCCTAATCTTCAACTTCCTGCACAGATTCTCTATTACATTCAAGTTGGGACTCTGGGTGACACTTAAATGCTATAAAATATAAACAATGCCACACTCACTGATTTCTTCTATTTTCAATTTCTTTTTTCTCTTGCATGGCATATATCACCAAAAAAAAAGGTAATATCACATAAATATATAGCCTATGCATGATGATTTTATTAAGGGAGTAAAATAAAACTATTATGTCATAAACCTTATTCGTTCATAAATTCAAATTTCATGGTAATTAAATTTATTTTTCTTTGTAACAAAAAAAATTCTGAAGTGATGTAAAAGGATAATAATAAACATTACTTTGCTCTTTTGCTAGTAGAAAAAAAAAATCTTTGTCTTATGTAAAAGTAACATGTATTTGACCATTGTATGAATATTTAGCATAGCAAGAGACTCGTTAAAATTTTTTTAAAAAAGCATAAGCATGATTTCTTCTGATGGACATCCAGTGTTTTCAGAAAAGGAACAAACGTTCCCCCTCCTTACATCTCCTGAGGTACTTCCAAAACCAGTCGACACAAAAACACGATAAAGATTGCTTTAAAAGTACAAAGTAAATGAGACACAATGAGTTGTTGATTCTTTTACAATTAAACCTCTTATACAGAAGATTAAAAAGTAAGAATATTTGGGACCTACTTTTCAGACTGTGTGTAGGGAGCAAACTTAGCAAGAGGGAAATGGCAAAGAAAAGTTAGAGGTATCTTTAGTTCAAGAGCTGAAAGCAATTTTACTCAAAACTAAAGAAACTCAGAGGAAAATCAGCAAATCTAAAATTATGAAACCAGTGGCACTTTCAAAAAAACTTATGTTGAAACTGTGGTCACAAGTTTCTTTATTTTGCCATTATCTCTTATCATGGTATTTCCTTTCGGGTGACATAGCTCTTTTTTGCAGTTTTCTCTTAACTTGACGACTGCAGCACATTTTACGGTCAGTGCAAGACGGCCGGCGCTGAGCATCAACCAATGGAAGGGACTTATGGGAATTTAGATCTTGAAGAATCCATTTACCAAACTCCTTCATGTAAGGACAGAGGTAAGAATGAAATAACAGAGAAATGCATTGTGTATTTTATAATTATTTTATAATTATTATTTTTTTTAAGTTAATATTAATAATATTAATTTTGCTTGCTAAGGTTCAAGCAGCTCCAAGAAGAGACTTTACCTAGAAGTAATTATATTTTTGGGAATTCTGAATGTTTTACTGCTGGCTGGACTCATCGCCCTCGGTGTACACTGTGAGTCTTCTGCTAGTTCTCTTAAATATGGGATGCTGCAGTGATACTAATGTCATCGGCCCCTTCTGAAATCAAATTAACTAAATATCAGGGTTTTAAAGGACGAAGTTTAGTGAAAGTAAGTATAACATGTGTTTGGTTTTCAGTGCTGGTTTTTCCACTTTGGTTCAGATCGCAGCAGCATCATTGCCGTTCCTTTTTTTAAGCTGCGTACACAACAGTTTGCAGGCACAGGCTTGATCATGACCACAATTATTAAACTGTTTTATAAGTTTCAAGTGAAAATAAGATGATTCTTCTTTTCACAAACATGTTTATTGGTATATTTCAGCTCGTTATCTGGCACCACGTCTTTCCAACAACCCGACCAAGGATACCAATGACAACCTGTCTGCCACACTCAAAGCTGACCTCACCAAAATGGTTAAAAAGCTACCAGTGTCTGGAGGTTTGTCAAAATGACAAAAAAAAATCGTATTGAAATCAGTAAAATTAATATTTTAGATTGTTGGACAGCTTAGGTTTTTGTTTGTGTGGGTCCCCAATGCAACGGAATACAAAATACACAGTTGTATCTCTTTTTGCCACTTATATCAAAGCTATAGTAGTGGAACTGCCACGGTCAAACAATCTGACTTCTATTTCAAATGTTGTGATACTAACTTGACTGCAGCTACATTGCTTGGCAATGAGAATTTTAATAATAATAATAATAATAATAATTTTTAAAATATTTAATTGTGACAACCCCAAAACAGTCAGGCAAGTTTAGGAAAAAACAGAGAGGCCCGATTCCAAGGCATTAAATGTTCAAGTCAGATTTGTGTTAAGTCATGTTTGACATATTAAGTATTTTTCTACCAACTGAAGGTAACAGTAACAGTAACTTGATTGTGCAATAAAATGGCACAATGTCCCTGAAAAATACATAATAGCGCTCCTCTAGTTAGACAACAAAATGTAATCTTTCATCTGGGCACATTTATTCAGTGGTGAAAAAAAGTTTAAGGTTGAGAAATTAGTTTTAACAAAGTCGGCATGACTTTCTATTAGTCTGGGGTAAACATGACATGACATGTTTGTTATTTCTAACCACTTGCCACCAAGAGGAGCCACAGTTATCTTGCCATCACAGACAGGAAGCAGGACTAGAAGACTGGTTTAGGAGTCATCAGTGTCAACTGTTAGAAAACTGTAACAAAGTGATTAGTGAAAGCTGGAAATGTGTTTATTTTATCCTTTAAATCACTTTGGAGGAAATCTGACCTTCTCTTTATGGTGCTATGTAGAAATCGTTTTTATCTCCTGTGGCAACCATTCAACTGTGGACCTAGCACCACTTTGTTAATCTGTAGATTATTATTAGATTGTTGTTATCTAGAATTATCTTGTTATAAAATCAGAATAAACTGACCGTAGAGCTTATGTGTGCTCGCTTCTAAAAAAGATACACAAAAAAAAACCATCAGAGACTGTGATAACTATTTAGTTTTTAAGAAAAACCCTACGCATTGGTCAACCACTTGCCTATTTTGTCCAATAAACTTCGGCTTGGTTTAGAACTGCCTGGCTGTTTCCAGCCTCAGGGGCCATGGAGAGAAGCCTAAGGCCTGGCTTGGGCCTCTCAAACATCCTGCCTTGTTCAAATAGTGAGAGAGGCTTTTTGCTTTGCTATCAGGAGGTTATGACGGTGTGGTGTGAAGGATTGGCAGAAAATGACATTATATGCAAATTTATCCACAAAAGTGTGTTTTAAACATTTATTTCATGATTTGGTTCTTCACGACAGGTTGGACCTGCAGCGTTGCTCCGCAGCAGTTTCCTGCAGCCCAGATCGATGCTGGCCAGGGGATGGTTGTGATGACAGACAAAAACTCCAGCGCCTTCTTCTTGAGTAGATCAAGTTGGTCCAAACTGGGCTCGGTGTCTCTTAAGCATGTCTCAGTGGGACCTGCAGGGATCTGGGGAGTCGACCAGCAGAACGAAGTCTATAAATTTGTAGCCAGTGATTTTGTTCCTACCCATGGTGAGTATTATGTTTCAGAGCCAGACTTTACAGGTTAGGCCGCCTCATTCTCATTTTCATTTTTTTAGTGACGCTGTTCTTTGTGTCTTCAGGTCTGGAGTTAAAGCAGGTAGATGCAGGAGGACAAGGTCAGGTAATAGGAGTTGCTAAGAGTGACAGAATCCACTGCCTGACTGCCAACAAAGCCTCATCCATAAAGGAGATCATGCACTGGAGCACCAGTAGTGTGACTGATCTGCTGATTTATATCAGTTGTGCTCCAACTGGATGCTGGGGAGTGAACGCACAACAATCAATCTTCTTCACGGTAAACTTGTGTCTTCAAGCTCTTGCTGCAACTCTTGTTATAATATTCACCAATGTTCTTGTTGCCATCTTTGTTTACTTTGACAGCAAATCTCAAACTCCTGCGTCAAACCTGGAATCTGGAACAAGGTGGATGGAGAGGCAGTAAATGTTGAAGTTGGGAGTGACGGAAATGTCTTTGTTGTAAATCGACTTGGACTGCTCTACGAAAGGTAAACCCTCCAATATATTTGTGTTCCAAATATGGAAAGTACAGAGATGGTTTACTTTAAAACAGCCACTAAAAAGCACCTTCCCCTTTCCAGAACTGGCATCTCTGACCATGTTCCACAGGGCACAGATTGGAAGAAAATTGAAATGTCTGTGAAGATCAAACATGCCAGCTACGACCTGGGGTATCTGTGGCTTGTGACTGAGGAAGGTTTCATTGTGAAATGCACCAAGTAACCAGGTGGAAGTCCTCACTTTAAACTTTTCTCATTTCATGACTTCTGTGGTTCAAACCTGTGTTTGCTTTATCATCAGAATACACAGCATTTATGGTGATGTTTAGGCCCAGGCTTAAGCAGGAGTCTGGGCCTCCTGTTTAACCATAGTAGGAGGTTTGTAATGCTGTATTATAACGCCTCAATATGTAATAATGTGATAAATTCTGGCTTCAATATGTAATTAAACGTATTTACAACCACATTATGTAAAATGCAAAAGGTAGTAAAATCTTTGAACACATTGTAATAGTTTCTGTTGCATCATGCATGATTACAAAATGTAGAGGTCGCTTTTTTTTTTATAATAACGTAATAATGTGGTAAGTTATGCAATGAAGTTCCACAAACCTTGTTTTCATCCTGATCAATATTCTTCTAATAATAGTCAAATTGCATTGCCTTTGTATTTGTATTTTTGAAACTTTGAAAGATTTAAAGTGTCATAAAACAGCATGGATGTTTGATTCTTGGGGCTAATCTTCGTGTTATTTTCCCAACCTGGAAAATATAAAAGCTATGCTCTTTAACACCAAACACAGCCCCTACTTTTTTTCACAGACTCCTTTGTCTCTGTGCTTTTCTTCTCACTTTGCAAAGTTTTAATAAATTTGTTACATCTTCTTGTCCAGATTCTTGTTAGAGTATTTTTTTCCCCATGACAGCTCTGAAAACTTGTCTATTAGTGCGTTAGTGTTTCAGTGTGATGGTGTGATGGTTGCAGACTTTGACGATCTGAGATGTAAGTCGGCCGGTAGGGTTCTTTTTATTTGAAAGGTGCTCATGTATAGTTAAGGATCACCAGCAGAAGCTGGTGACCAACGCACCAATCCTCCACCACCCAGAAGAATCAGCCAAACCCTCAAAACCCGAACGCCTAGACCTGATACCAAAGCCACTGACCAAAGAAGCCGTTGAGCCCCAACAAAGAAGAACCAGCTGGAATTAGCTGCAACTAGACAGAACAAATCGTGCCCCACACCAACTCCAAGGCACTCAACAGTGACAAATTTGCAGCTGGGGATTTCTTTTCAGCTTTTGGTGAGAAATAGAGACAAGTTTTACTAGCCCGGTTCAGTTTTTTTCAATTGTTTCATGATGCTCTTCTTTGTCTCTTCAGGACATTATTTAAATCTGGTTGATGCTGGAGGAGAAGATCAAGTAGAGGGAGTTACAAACACCTACAAGATCTACTGCCTGAATGCCTCATCTATCAAGGAGACTGTTGTCTTGATCTGGAACATCCTGCAGGGGGAGCTGATGTATTTCAGCTGAGGTCTAACTGCATGCTGAAGAGTGAACACACATCAACAGACCTATTTCACAGTAAAACCATGTCTTTCAGCTTTTGTCGTAGCACCTGATATAAGTGTCGATAGTCAGCTTGTCAGCGTCTTTGTTTTCTTCAACAGAAAGCCTCACCAAACTCCTGCAGCACGACTGGGTGGAACAATCCAGTCGTCCAGATGTTGATGTCATGGAAACATCTTGGTTCCACTGGGCACAGGTTGGAGTCAAATTGAATTTTGTGTGTCCATTAAGCACACAAGCTACGACTTGGCCATCAGAGGCTTTTGACCGAGGCTGGTATCATTCTGGAGTACACCAAGTGACCAGCCGGAAGTCTTCATTTGAACTCTTCATTTTGGTGTTCAGTTTTTAAAACTGTACAAATTAAATTTCAAAACAGGAGTTTAACGATGGACTCTTTCATTCATCAACTGAATGTGTTTTGTCAGTTATTTGTGAATGACAGTAGTTCTGTCAGGCTAGTTTTTGTTTTTAGCTGAATGAAACATAGTACTATCAGAATTTATACATATAGTTCCAAACTAGATGCTTCTTGAATACATTTTTATGGTGACATAAAGATTGTTTAATTTGCTATACAAAAGCCAGATGTTCTACTCTAGAGCGAAACTAACTTGACATAGATATGCTTAGTAATTTGCTTCATCTTCCACCCAAACGCCATAGGCCATAATGTTCTCATCACTCACTTTCCCCAAAATGCTTGTTAAGCCATTCAAGTCTCATAGATCATACCTATTAGTTTGCACCATAAAAGTGATATGAGCAAACCTGTATTTAACTAAAGGCCTACAGCAAAGTTATTGTTGGCTGTACATTTGGAGCTGCTCATCAACACAAAGCAGGAAACTGCAAATTTGCCACAATCTTCTTGCTAGTACTGACTTATTAGTCTATTTGCTATGGTATTTGCTCCTTGTAAGATTTAACTAAACTAACTCGGTAAAATGATTGAAAAAGTTGTTTCAACAGTCAGTTTCTTAACAATGACCAGCTGCTTTGATGTCTTTCAGCCTGGATTCGGTTCTCATCACAATACTGAGACTTCAAAGTGTTCAGTGGCATCTATATTAATACAGACTGTGGAAGAACCACAGTGCCACTTTTGACACTGTTGACTACGACATTAAAGTGACTGAAGAGTTGGGTTAGACTCTGAGGTACAACAATTGAGGAAAAACAATATTACCTAAAAAACAGGGATGTCTTTGAGGGGTACCTCAAATTTCAAATCATGTAACCCCTTCTATTTATAGAGCATATAAATAGACACAGCATATATAGATGTTCTTGCTACCTCAGATTATAGGAAGTAATAAGATTGGTTTCATAACTATGCAGATGATACACTAGAATGTCACCAAATGACTTTGAACCCAAGCACTGAAAAAATTAGAACAAATCAATGCATAGAGGTGCCATAATTTTCTTCAGCTGAGCAGGAACAAAACTGAAGTTATCTTTGGATCTAAAGAGGAATGATCTAGAATCAGCACGCAACTCCAGTTATTATAGCTAGAAACTAGAGATGAGGTCCGAAATTTGGGTGAAGTGATAGACTCAGACCTGAACATTCAGAGACACATAAAGACTCTTGCAAAGTTGGCCTCCTGTCATTTAAAGGACTCCAGGGTTGAAAGACTGAAGTCCAATGGTGAACTTTGGGAATGTAGTAACCTAGCTTTATGGTAAGTTCATCATCATGTAGACTTGATCAGAGGAACATTTCTACCACCTTCTGTTCATTATTATTATATCTGAAAACATGTCTGTTGTCAAGTAAAAAAACCAAACACATTTTACTCAAGCTTGTTGTTGGGTGTCCTTTGGTGAGGCAACTTGTTTTTCCAAGTTGCCTCCTCAAAAGATGTAAAAAATACCCACTAGCAAAGATAAAATATTAATTACATGTATACATAAAAAAAAAGACAAACAAAAATCAAATGAGGGGTTTGTGAGAAGCATAGACTGATTTAGACTGTTCTGTTCCCTGATCACCTGAAAGGTCAGTTCTATCAGCATGACTCATCAGTCTTGCTCAGTGGGATGATGTTCTCTTCAAAGGTCATCAAACTCAAACTTTGTCTAACAAGTGTGGGGAACAATCTACTCAAGCATCTGTGGGTCATGCTGGACAAACAAGTCAGATAAATAAAGAGGCATGTTCCACCTGTTTTACTGGTAGTATTGTATTAATTAGAGGTGAAAGTCTTGAATGCACTGATGGACACAGGCTCTTACTGTAATTCAAGATACTGAATGCTAGTTTAAGAACTATTGAGAGAACCTCTGATGGGGTAATTGGTTTAAAACACAGGTTTCCTGCAACTTTTAGATGTGCCTCTGCTGTAATCTATCAATTTGAATCAGGTGTGTTGAACACTTGAGCATTGCAGGACACTGAACCTCGAGGACTGGAGTTTGACCCCCCATAGTTCAGAGGGTGTGATGTATTAAAAGAGCCACAAGATGTCCCACTTGAACAGAAGCAGGTCAGTCCCAATCATGGGAAAAGGCAAAGCTGAACCCAGTTAACCTTTATTGGAACTGTGGATTTTTGAGGGTATCCACACAGAATGAAAGTGACGCTTGCAATCCACTCCAAAGAAATTGCTTATAAAAACTACAGTTTTGTATTTTTGCCTTTCAGAACAAATATTTCAAAGATTTTTCGCCCTTGGACTTATACCAGACAAAGATCGGAATGTCTTAAACCTTGCTGACATGAACCAAACACAGAGGATCAAATTAAACTGTCTCTAATTTCCTTTTAACTTTAACACCAGTTTCTGGTGTTGAAGGTTAAATATGGATGATCTGTTCAGATGCTGTTGTTCCATGAGATTGTTTCTGCAAATCTGTTTATTTCGTAGCACTGTAACAAAATATACTGTGAGCAAAGGAAATAAGAACTATGACTGCTGGATGTTATAACAAGGCTGTTTTGTCACAAAGACCCTAGTACCCACTTTTCTTATTGCAACGTAAAGGAATATCTTTGCTCATGATTCTAAAGTGATGGACCAGTGTAGCACTCTGTGACAGGTTCAAGGATGGCAGTTGTAACAGCCTTGAGACCAATAACAGCCAGAGGTTCACTTCTGTCAATGTCAGATTAGAATACATCAAAAATGCCAAAAAAATGTACCGTCAAAACAGCTCTTGAGTTCTAACGACTGTCCAAGATTCTGTTTATCCTTTTACTCTAAATTTTTACAATAGTATGCCATCATTTATGTTGGTGCTGGCCTTTTTAGATTGATTTTGATCCCACCAAAGCACGGACATTACAAAAATATGACCTTGTTTCAATGCTGCATAATTTACAGTACTTTGCAAAAAAAATAAAAAATAAAATAAATTAAATCACTTGAGCTTTTAGAAATGTTTACATTATAGTCCCAAACTTTGTGTTCTTGGTGTCCTGCGTGTTTTAAATGTCTGCTGGGTTTAAGGAATAATTAAAGTGCATCTTGGATGTTAAACAAAATCTTGGAGAGTAATAGAACAAGAAATTGACTATTTTAAAAACCACCACCAACAACAATAACAAAAAAGGTTTGGCCATTTTTAGCCTGTAGAGTGTTTTTTGCAACAAGTTAATCTTTAAATCTAAAAGCATATGATGTGAGGGACCACAGGCTGGTAGGACTTAGAATACCATATTAATACAATTAATTTGGTAATTGATGTGCTGTCTTATTGTTCAGGTAGGCCCGTTGAATATATAACAAGACTACACCTTTAACAAAATGCTTACATTTTACATTTTTAAAAAAATACGAGACTGTTTAACCGCATTTATATGTATCTGATGCAGCATATTGGTAAACTCCCTGTAATATAACTCCAGTCATAATATACACTCCAGTCCGATAGGTGGCGGTTAATGCACCTTAGGTTGGTTTGCCAACTGTCAATAAAACTCAGAGAAAGAGCCACATTTCACCACTGGGTAGCGGTATGGTGATGCTGACCAAAATACACGTTTACGTGTATTACACGGTGACCAACTACTAATGAACTCAATAAGTGACATGCCAGGAAGAAAAAGACGACTTCACATCCAGGTATTTTACATAGAAATAATAAATACATTTTAATGTGTCTATCAATTAATGTACGACATTGAGACTGAGTTGAAACCGTGCTACTATGCAGTCTACTTCTCTATTCCACTGGCAGAAAGTGTGGGAAACGTAGGAACAGGTACTGAACTATGTGAAATGTTCCTGGACAGGGCGCGCGACTTTCGAAAGTTCACCATGGCGCTAACCCATGAGTTAGGGGAGCTAATCAATATTGAAT